TTTGGAGAAAATTGGTCAAACTTCATCCGATAGTTAATACTGTGCCTGGTAAAGTGTTTGATGTTTGTTAAATACATGAATTAGTCATTTGGCTAAATGTAACATCAAAATAACTGAATTATGAATTAAAGAGTCTTGGAAGGAATTTACAGTCTTTAGAAGTTCGTTCTTTTGGAGGGTGTAAGAATGCCCTGTATACATTTTTACACACATTGCTAGATGCAGTTTAAATTTAATTACTCGTGCACTGAACCTAGCAGCAGAAACCTTACCTGCTAAACTTTCGGAAAAACCTTTCATAGCCTGAGAGATTCTAAGGAATAATCTTCTGCTTCATTTGGCTTTTCTCTCAAGGTAATATATTATGTCTTCAAAATAATTAACCCATGACTAATTCAAGCTGTAGCTTTTGACAATCTCAGGTTAAAATCTTTTTGAAGAAAAGTGAGAGACTGCAGTCATACAGCTACTTTGCATTCAAATGCATCTAACTTAGGTGTTTTTATTTCATTACTCCATTTTGGAAAGAAGAAAGGTAGAGTTGGTCAATAGATAAAAAGAGGCCTTAGTTCAGCCAGCCTTAAAGGGTGACTAAAAAAAAGAAAAATGTTAATTACTAATGGATTGGATAGCTGTCAAACCATTTTAGGTAGACAATCTCTTCCTCTCTGCTTAAGCTTAGTTTTCAAGATTTTATTACATTTTATAATTTATTTACATTTAATTGTACATTTTTGTGGGAGTACAATTTGGTTTTTCAAAGCATGCATGCAATGTGTGATAATAAAATCAAGGATATTACCATATTCATCATCTTCAACCAATATTATGCTGTGCACTTTTTAAAAATAATTATTTATTAAATGTTATTTATTAGTTCATTTATTTTTAATTTGTCAAAGAGAGAAAGAGGGGAAGTGAGAAAGCAAGCCACCAGGTACAGAACTTGAACTGTGGTCAGCCATGTGGGAGTGTCCAGTACCTTAGCCACCATGCCACCTGCTGGTTCCCTATGCTGTGCACTTTTTGTTATAGTTTAACACACACACAGAAATTTGGATGGCTCTCCCCCCTTTTTATTTCAATGTTATGTATACTGTTCCACAATGTATTCGCCTTGTTGATGTGTATTCTTTTGTCTGTTCAATATTTTTCCCTGAACTCCTCCCCTCACTCACTCCCATGCAGTCTGTAGTGTCTGTCCTTTTTATTTCCATGTTTTTCAATTTCTGACATTGAGTGTAGATATTAGGCATATATTAAATGGGGACATACTGTTTTTCTTTCATAGTCTGCTTTATTTCACCTAGCAGTAAATTTTCTAGATTCATCCATTTTATATCAAGTGACAAGAGCTCACCATTCTTTATAGCTATGTAGTATTCCACTGTGTATATGTGCCATATTTTCTTAATTCGGTTATCAGTTGTTGAGTACTTAGGTTGATGCCATGTCTTAGCTACTACGGATAAAGATGCAATAAACATGGATGTGCAAGTGTCTCTCTGACAGTGATTTCCTGTCCTTTGGGCAAATATTGAGGAATGAGATTACTGGGTCATATGGTGGTTCTATTTATAAATTTCTGAGGAACCTCCATATTTTCCACAGTGGCCTAGTTTACATTCCCACCAACATTGCACAAGAGCTCCCTTTTCTCCGCAACCTCACTAGCACTTATTATTTATTTAAATTTTGATCCTAGCCATTCTGACTGGGGTTAGGTGATACCTCATTGTGGCTCTGATTTACATTCCCTTATAAGAGCTGTTGAACATTTTCCCATGTATTTTTGGCCATACATGCATCTTCCTTTGAGAATTGTCTGTTCAGATTGATTATTTTCAAATTGGATTTTTATTTTTTGGGGTGAGTTGCTTTAGTTTCTTATATATTCTGGCTATCAATCCCTTATTTGAAGTTTAGTTTGCAAATATTTCCTCTCATTCTGTGTATTGTCTCTTTTATTGTTTCCTTTGCTGTGCAGAAGCTTTATAGCTGAATATAATCCGATTTGTCTATTTTCTTTTAATTTATTTAATTTGTCCAGAGAGAGAGAGAGCAAGAGAGAGAGAGAGTGAGAGAAGGTGAGAAAGCAAGCCACAAGGTCTGGACTTGAATTGTGGTGGACCATGTGGCAGTCCAGTGCCCTTAACCACCATGCCACCTGCTGACTCCCCATTTGTCTATTTTTGAAGTTGTTGCTCATGCTTAGGGGGTCTTAGTTAAGAAATCTGTGGGGCCAGCAGATGGCATAGTGGTTAAAGCACTGAACTCTCACACGGACAACCATGGTACTAGTGCCAGATTCAGTGGCTTGAAACTCACGCCAGATTTGTGTGTGTACACATGCCCCAAATCCTGAGAATGGAGAAAGGATTGCAGTGTGGCCACCTCCCCTGAGGGGGTGATTCTTGGTTTCCTTTTTTCTCTCCAGAGAGCACACACACCCTATTCATGCCCTATAGTAAAAAAATCTCTCTCGGGAACCAGCAGTTAGCGTAATGGCTATGTCGCTGGACTCCCACGTAGTCGACCGCGATTCGTGTGCCGGACCCGGTGACTTAAAACTCACGCTGGGCGTGTGTGCGTGCGTGCCCATGATCCTGAGAGGAGAATGGAAGCGAAGGGCTTGGGGCGTGACCATCCCCCCTGGGGGGTGATTTCTCGCTTTCTGTCTCTGTGTCTCTCTCTGTCTGTCTGGCGAGCGCACGCGCCCTATAGCGAAAATCAAAAAAAAAAGAAAAAAAAATCTCTCTCTCAAAAAAAAAAATCTTTTGTCTACTTCAATGTCTTCATGTTTCCCCTGTGTTTTATATTTTGAACTTTGCATTTAAATCTAATCCTTTTTTAAAAATTTCTGTTAATAATGAGAGACAGGGGCCTAGTTTGATTTTTCTGCAAGTGAATATCCTGTTTTCTCCAGCACCATTTGTGGAAAAGACCTATTTCCTCCACTGAATTATGTTATGCCCTTTTTCAAAAATTGGTTGGCTGTAAGGTTTTGGGTGTTTAGTTGGATTCTCTATTCTGTTCCATTGGTCTATGGTCTACTTATGTATCAGTACCATGCTGTTTTGATAATTACAGCTTTGTAAAACAGCCACTACTTCTCACTTAACCTACTTGTTTAACAACTGCTCAGACTTATGACCAGTTTAGTGCAGAGAATCCCTTGTCTTTGTCTTGTTCTAGCAGTTGTAGCATTCACTATGTGAAGCGTTTATAATCATGCAAGACTACATTTTGTTTTTATATCTGTACTTTATTGTGCACCCCGAGAAGTATTCAGAATAAATAATAATTATGCTAGAATTTTCTTATTGTGTTGTGGTGTATCTTGTTACTTTCTGGTGCTTTTCTAATGTATGCTTTTAGTATGGGTATAATTATATTTTTCTAGTGTGATTTCACGTATCTATTGAAAAATACATACCCTATGGCACCACAGCACACAAGATATCCTTTAAGCTCCTTGCTTATTGACTAATTTGCTTAACAATCTAGTTTCAGAAACGGAACTCTGCTGTTAAGTGAAGAGCGCCTATGTATTTTGAGGTTGGGTAGTGAGATGTCTTCAACTTTATTCTTTTTCACAGTATGGCCCTGGCAAAACAGGGTGTATGATGATTCCAGACAAATTTTGATTGTTTTTCTATCGCTAGTAATTTGATAGGGATGCACTGGATGTATAAATTAATTTGGTTAGCATTGATATTTTAAAAAATACTTTTTCTGCATCAATTGATGTGATCATATGGTTTTTATCTTTCTTTCTGTTAATGTGATATATTACATTTATTGTTTTGCATAGGCTGAACCATCCTTATATCACTTTATCCCACGTAGGGATAAAGTCTACTTGGTCACCATGTATAATATTTTTAATGTGCTATTGGATTCAATTTTGTTGAGGATTTTTTTTTTTTTTTTTTGCATCTATATTCATCAGGAATACTGGCCTGTAGTTTTCTTTTTGTTGTGGCCTTGTGCTTTAGTTATCCAAACTCATAAGTCTGGGAGGAGTCCTTCCATTTCAACCTTTAGAAACTGTTAGAAGAAGATTGGTATTAATTTTTCTTTAAAAGTTTTATAGAATTCAGAAGTGAAGCAATTGGGACATGGGCTTTTCTTTGTAGGGACTTACTAACTTAACCTCATTCTTGTAATAGGACCATTTTGACTTTTCTATTTCTTCCTGGTTCAATATATATATATATATATATTTAGCCTATGTCCAGAAATTTGCCCACCTTTTTCTAGGCTTTTCAATTTGTTGGCATATAGTTCCTTGTAGTATTCTCTAATGATCTTTTGTATTTCTGTGATGTGTGGTAATATTGCTTTTCCAGTCTTATTTATCTGGTTATTTTCTCTATTTTTCTATGTCTTGCTAACAGTTTGTCAATTCTAGTTATTCTCTTAAAAACCCAGACTTTTGTCTCACTGATTTTTTTTTTGTATTGTACCTTTATTGTATTTCACTTATTTGTGCTCTAATTTCTATTTCTCTATTTCTTTGTTGTTGTTGTTTCTGCTTTCCAGTTCTTTGAGATGCATTATATGCTACTTACTTGCCATCTTTCTACTTTTTTCTTGTGAGTACCAATTGCTATAAACTTCCTTCTTAGAGCTGGTTTCATTATATCCCAAAGATTTTGCAGAACTGTATATATATATTTTCTATTATTTTCCTCAACAAATTTAAAAATTCCATTCTTTTCTTCAGCAGCTTCAAAGTAAACTAGGAGTGAATTGTTACTTTCCATGTATTTGGGTATTTTTTAAAGCTCTTCTGATTTAATTCCATTGTGGTCAGAAAAGATGCTAGATATGATTTCTATGCTTTTTAACTTGTAAAGTCTTATTTTGTGCACTAGCATGAATGTGCACCAAATTTTTGAAATCTTTGAAAATGTTCCATGTGAGACTGAGAAAAATATTTCATAGTTGTTGGGTAAAATGTTCTATAAATGTGTGTCATGTCCATTTGGCTTATAAAAAATATGGAATACTTCACAAATTTGTATGCTATCCTTGTGTAAGGGCCATGCTAATCTTCTCTGTAGTGTTCCGATTTTAGTAGGTATGTTGTTGAACTGAGGAGTAGGCTGCTTTTTAAAAAGCAAAAATCCATTAGAGTCTCAAAGCTTATAGCCCTCACCACATACCCTTTGGTACCCTGTTCAAATCCAGGCATCTCTCATCTCTCATTATCTGCTCTTTAGAAGCACTATACAGCAATGGATAGGTGTTCTGATTCTGCAATTAGGTTATCATGGGTTCAGATTTCATTCTCTACCAATTATTAGAGGTGGTCATGTGACAAGTCTGGCCACTGAGAAGGAGGGAAAGTTACTGGGTATAGCTTTCTGAAAAATTTTTGTAAAGGGGAAAAAACAAATGAGATGTTTTGTTCTTTTCCTTTCTTTTTGTGTAGAATACAAACATAATGTTATAACATTATGGTGGTATAACTATTTTATAGCCACAAGAAAGAGAAAACTAGTAGAAATTTGGATCACTGTGGACATTACAGGGCAGCACTAGCAGTTTTGGACTGCTGATTTCTAGACTTTTTAAAGTGAAAAAAATAAAGCCAGTCATTTGTTGTTTAATCTGCCTTTGGATCCATTTTTGGTAGTGTAACATTATTATTATGTGATATATGAAGTCATAAGATTATTTGAGGCTCAGAAGAGAGAAATCTATGTGAAGAGCAGAACACAGTGCCTGGCAGGGGGTCAACAACCAATACATGGTTGCTGTTATTTTGGGGAAGATTAGCCGACTGCCAGCATAGAACAAAAAAGCTAAACCCAGGATAAGCAATTTGGGAAGGGAAGAACAATGCTGAACAGAAGCAATGGCAGAGCTGTAAATAATTCAGAATCATATTCTGAGCCAAGCAGTGTACATAAGTGGTCTGACATATAGCAGATACTCAACTTACTATATGTAAACTCTTTTCCTTACTCTATCTGTGAGAAAACAAAGTGATGCCATTTATTCACATGAAACCTTTATCAACAGGATGACCAGACTAAGCAAGAAACTTCAGGAACTCTGAAAAGTAAAGATTGTAAGATGATTTAGATTTTAGCGAGGGATTCCATTCAGTGTCTCTTGTATTTCTACTTACATAATAGAGTCAAGATATGACTAAAAGTAATATACAAAGACACTGATAAACAAAATGCTACTAGAAAAAAGTTGACATTGCTGTGGTCTGGTATCTTATTGACTCAGATACCAGGCCCTAGAAGAATAAAAAGTTAATAAATAGAGGTATCTATTTTGAGAGCAAATTAGAAATTTATAACATTGGTCAATCCAGAGAAATAATACAACTGAGCCTGAACATAAATCTAGAAATGAACTTAGCAAATTCAGCTTGAAAACTGCACCAGAAAAAAAAAGTATGATGAAAAGAAAACATGTGAAAGCTGGAATATTATGATCAGGTAACAATGAGATTAATTTATAACACATGGGAAAGGAAAAGAGGTTGATTATTTGTGGTCACTTCAAAAGGAACTTATTAAAAGTAGTACCTCATTTCTATTGAACAAAATTATGAAACTTCAGAAATAAAAGGCAATTAAAATTTAGTCTTAAAAAAAAAAAAGAACTAAATGTCAGATACTAGGATGACCTACAGAAGAGTAATTGATTAAGAGAACACAGTGCCTGGCAGAGGGTCAACAACCAATACACAGTTGCTGTTATTTTGGGGAAGATTAGCCGACTGCCAGCATAGAACAAAAAAGCTAAACACATTATCTGTAGAAATCTGTAATGATTAATGTGAAGTCACTGCTGAATATAAATACCAAGAAAAGTAAAAAAGAAAGTCTAGAGTGAAACAAAAAAGGTCTGAAAGGCAACAAATCACAGACTACAATTATCTTATTTGAAAAATTATAATTGGCTATTAACAAAGTAAATAAACAACTCTTACATCAGAGTGCAAAATGAAAGCACCTTATTGTTTTAAAGGTGCAAAAGCAAGAAAATGTAACATAAACAGATCCGTGTTTTAAATATATCCTTGTGTGGTGGGTAAATGTCATTTAAAAACATTCTCAATAGAAAACTGATTTATAAATCAATTTATAAATCAATTTATAGAAGATCCAAAAAAATCAATGTTTAATACCAACTTTAACTATAAATAACTAAAAAGGAAAAAAAAAACTGTCCTCTATACTTTTGTTTTGCTTCAACATCTATATCTTCTGTTCCTTGCCTTTTGGAGAAAACATTGCATTGTAAGGCTGCCGTCTTTTTGGACGAGGACAAGGGTCAAGATCTTCCTTAATGTAACCTAAAAGTAAATTATAAATTTAGAAAACTGTATTTGCAGCATACATTTCTTTCAGCATATACCCAGTGAACATTTATTTTATTTAATACCTTGTAAGTTTACACTATTCTTCTGATTATTAGCTATGTGATATTGATCAATGATTTCATTACTTAGCATTAGTTTTCTCATTTATACTAAAAATAATAGTAGCAAGCATTTATCAACTGCTCTGTTTCAGATAACTCATATTTCTTTTGACTAGCTTCCATTACACCTATTTCACAGAATTGGGACCAAGAGAAGTTAAGTAACTTGTTTAAATTCACAAAGCTAGAAAGTGGAAGAGCTGGGATCCTGCTCAATTCTAATTCCAGAATCAGAGTTCTTAAGCACTTTCCTATTCTGACTCCCACAGGTTGCAGATGAGAACAAAATGCATAGCATGATCTAACATGACAGATCTCAGGTGCTTATCAAAAACACTTTTTGCTGTGGCTATTTTATTAGATGATGCCCCTATATGCTTCAGTCTATTAGATCCTCAAGTATTTCCAACCATGTAATTCTCAGGGGAGAATTCTATTCTGCCACACCCCTAGGCCATATTATAACAGATGGGGGAGGGGGAGAAACAAAGTCTCTATCCAGATTGACTCTATTTCCTAACTGGGCAGAGAAATATCTTATCAAGGGGACCTAATCTGGCTTGTTAGTGGGGAAAGTGGAAATAATGATAATAGCAGTAATAGCTGTCAGAGATACTGCATCTTTTGGCAAACATATCTTATAATTAAATACCAGGAGCTCTCTAAAAAATGAGTATGGTTCCCTCTCATTGTTAATCATATAGCTAGACCATCAAAACTCTTTGGAAAGTTGTTGTAAGATGGCAAGGCTGAACTAAAATTCTAGGTGGTAATCTTATGGTTTTATATTTACTCAATGCTACTATGGATTGAGTATTCCTTTACTGAAATGCTTGAGACCTTCTGAAGTATTTTGAATTTTGGAGTTTTTTTTAGATTTTGGGATATTTACATACACATAGTGAGATATCTGGGGGATGGGACCAAGTCTAAACATGAAAGTCATTTATGTTTCACATACACCTTCATAGCCTGAAGGTATTTTATACAATATTTTTGCAATGCAGCATTTTCATTGCAACTCATTCTATGAAGTCAGGTGTGAAATATTCCATTTGTGATGAATGTCAGTTTGAGCACTTGAATTTTGGAGCATTTCAGATTTTGAAATCTGAAAATTTTCAGATTTTTATATTAGGGTTGTTCATTCTATAGTTTTTTGGGGGTATATAGTTTAGATGCTTACACTTACAAATAAAGACTAAGACCCAAAAGCTAATTAATTAAATCTGTCATAAACCTAAAAGTAAAATTACAGATATTCTGCACACTATTATATTTTTCAGATGCATCTCAGATGTATCACATTTTCATAACACTTAGCATTTTAAACAAGATAAGAGTCTATAACCAAGTAGTCTTCAGATTATGGAGAAAACGGTAAAAACTTTGAGCTCAGATAAGCCCTTGGTTAGTTAGTATACGATCTGTATTTTACGTTTTTTTTTTTTTTTTTAAACAGTTTCATGGAGGTATACCCTGCATACAATAAACTGTAGATATTTAAAATTAATATTATCTCTTATGTTTTAGAATGACTTTGAATTAAAATTCTTCATAAAACACAGAACATGTTCTTTTATTAAAAAGAATGTCTGACTGAATGTCTGTACCAACATTCCTTTAATAGCAAATGAGTTTTGAGCTGTATGTGCCAAAAAAAAGTCCAAGAATGCAGTAATGTAGGAAGTAAAATCTTGAATTAAAGAAGTCCTTTCATAGGGACTAGCTATTTGATGCTTTTATTTGTTCCTCTGGAATGGTATTTTCATAACAAAGGGTTTGTGAGACAAATGAACACTATTTGACTTAATAGCTAGTTCTTTTAAGGTTGAGAGGACTCTATGGCATTTCATATCTGATGGTGTTACCTGCATGTCAACAATTTTACATGCAAACATCTTATTATTCAGATTTTTTTAAAAATGGATTTTTAAAAGAATCTTTTTTAAATTCATTTACTTATTATTACTTCAATTCTGCTATAGGGCACATGCACTTATCCGAACGAGAAAGAGAGAGTGTGGGGGACAGTGAGAAAGCAAGCTGCCAAGTCTGGGACTTGAACTGCAGCAGCCATGTGGAAGTCCAGTGGCTTTATGACCATGCCACCTGCTGAATCCCAGATATGGTTTTTCAACATCTAGAATTTCTGGGTAAGTGAGGTCTGAAAATCCCAAACTCATAGTAGTAAATTTAAAAAAGATGTTCTCTTTTTAACAATATGCCTTTGCTGGTAATGTCTATAAAGTCATTCAGATGAAATAAATAACTTTCTGAAATTTGAATGATAATACATACATGATCATAAATTAAGTTACTAGAAGAGTTGAAGATAAGCCTTTTATCTTTAGGAATCTGTTTTTTTTTTTTTTTTTTTGAGAGGTTTTTGCTATAGGGCGTGTGCGCTCGCCAGATAGAGACAGACAGAGAGACAGAAAGCGAGAAATCACCCCCCAGGGGGGATGGCCACGCACAATCCCTTCTTCTCCATTCTCCTCTCGGGATCTTGGGCATGCACGCACACACACCTGGTGTGAGTTTTAAGCCACCGGGTCCGGGACGTGAACCGCGGTCGACTACATGGGAGTCCCGCAACATAGCCATTATGCTAACTGCTGGTCCCAGGAATCTGTTTATATGTCACAAAAGTAGCACCCAACTTGCAGCAGAAGGTAAAGAGAACCATGAAGAAAAGAGTTACTGTTCAGACTTGGGTGCATATGGCATAAAAAACATTTTGCAATATTACAGTTTCTGCTCTCACCTCTTTCCATACAAGTCTGAGTGGAGGGAAAACCAACTTCCCAGAAATTCTCTGGTGTGTTGGGTGGGATGTAGCGGAATCTGTGTCTTGAGCGGGAAGCCAACTTCTTTTCTCTTTCTTCTACTGGCAGATCTGCATAATACTAATAATAAAATCTGTTAATTTACTCACTTTGGAATAATAAATGGAGTATTATGCTTATTCATTATAAATTAGAAGCTAAAAAGCCACTTACTAAAATATTCAGTATTCTAAGGCAACTTGATAGTTATTGATAATATTAGTAATTAACATTTACAGACAGTATTAATTACTTATTAATTGTAATCAGTACTGATGCTAGTCTGTGAAATAATTACTTTATAGATGAGAAAAGGTGCTTGTATCACAATGTAAATCAACACACTGCTTTCTTCATCAATAATGTCTTGCAATGAAAAAAATGCCAATGAAATTTACCATGTGCTTAATGACATAGCTGATTTTTGTACTGGTACAAACTCCTCATCTTTGTCAGACTGATAACAAAAATTGAGGTCTGTACATTTCTGAGTTGTAATTTGGATATAAAATGTGTGTTTCAAAGTTAAGTTTCCTATCTCCACAGCTTTTAAAAACAAAAATTTAGGTCCTGTTAAGTTGTATTTTTCAATTAAGATTAAGGGCACACTCTTTTTTACAATTGTAATCATAAAGAAGTTGAACTTAATGCAAGGTTAAAAACTATAAAAACTGTACAGGTTTTTAAGCTCTAAAGAAAAGCAGTAGTTTAAAGTTTAATAGAACACAGGGCTAACCTGGTGCAGCAGTTAGATGTTGTGTAAAAGAAGTCAGGTCGTGTGTGGCTGACTGGAGTTTGAATACAGACCCTGTTAGTTTCATGCTGAGTGCATGTGCATGTGCACAGCATCTTGACAGGATGGAAAAAAATGACCATGGCATGACAAGACCCTATGGGGGGAATGCTTTCTCTCTCTATGCTATGCATATATACTCTCTGGCATTTAAAAAAGCTAAACAGAACATAGATGATAGAATCACATATTCCAGTCAATTCTTTGACTTTACACTTGGAAAATTGATCAAAGTGATAATTTACCAATATTATCACCTACTGAAAATGAAAGTATTAGGACTAGAATTTAAGTCTGAAGTAAAGGTTTTTGGTATATTTTTATTTTATACAGATTAAAGGCTTTAGAGAATTGCTGAAACAATTTTTTGGGAGTATCTTTTTCATAATCTTCATTGCTATAAATATAAGCTTTTGTTAACTTAGTTTGGGTTTTGGGATGGGATAATTTTAGAGAACCGTGGTTTATTGGAACAAAAAATTGCTACCAAATTAAAACACACTTTGGAAATAATAGTAGGTTACTATAGCTGTAACACAGTGAACGAGAGGGAGAGTGATAGAGTATGAAATCAGAGAGGAAGGGTGTGAGTTTGTTGTCCTTGGTAGGTTAGGATACTTTTTCTTAGTCAGATGGGAAGACACTGAAGGATGTGGGACAGATGAGTAACATGTCCTAATTTTCATTCTAAAAAATCATTAGGAAAATAAGATCATTCATTGTGATGTTAATAATACACACACATTTAAAAAGTGAGGGCTGGCCCAAGGGTAAGGTGGCTAGATTCCCACATACATGACTGTATGGTTTGAGTAAGGGACCTGGTGGGTTGAGAAACACTTTGGGTGTATGTGCATGTGTGCCCAAAATCCCAAAAGGAGGAAGGAATGGGGAAGGGATTAACAGTGTGATCATTCTCCGCGATGGAGGATGCTTTCTCATTTCTTTGTCCTCTCTCTCTGTCCTTTTTTTCTCTTCCTGGTGAGTGCATAAGCCCTCAGGCAAATATGAAAACAAAACAAAACACACTGTGAAGAGACAAGAATGAAAAGAAAAGGAGAATAGAAACAGAGAGTAGGTGGGGGATTCTCTTCCATTTCCGCTCTGATTTACTGTGAACGTACAACTGCTCTAAAAAATAAAGTGTATGTTTGTGTATGTGAGAGAGAGAGAGATTGAGAGACAGACAGACACACAGACAAGGACAGCACTCAGAAGCAATCATAGTCCAGAAAAGATAAAATGGCATCTTTGTCTAGGGCATTAGTAGTGGAGGTAATAAGTGAATGGAAACAGAGTACGTTTTGAAGGCAGAATAGATGGGATTTGCTGACAGATCAGCTATTGAGATATGGGGAAAAAAGTAGCAGAAAATAACAGGATACATAGTTTAAACAACTGTAAGAATGGACATACAGGGGACTCAGCAGTGAGGTCTGGGAATTGAAGTACAGAAATTATATGCTTGTGTCTGAACATGTGAAATTTGAGATCAAATGTCCAATCATGTGCATTTATATTCCACATGTAATTAGGCAATGATATACATTTAGGAACTTAAGTACATGGAACTGGCACTTTCACTTCTAGGCATGAGGTAATCAAAGATTCACCCTTACCTTAAACAACTAGAAAAACTAAAGTGTACAAAATGATGGTTTTCAGAGATAGATAAAAGACAGCAAAGGAAAAAAGTGAGAAAGAAAGCAGGTTGAAAGTTTTTCTAGCACAAGAGCATTTTTACTCACTAGTACCTAGATCATAAAGGCTTATGGTTATAACTAAAAATTAGTGATTTACTTAGTGTAGTTCATGCTCTTTAGTTAAGAAATGTTATCATGAAAACTCATGATAAATACAGTTTTGCTTGTATCTAATAGTGATCCTAACTCATATTTCCACTACTAGTGTATAAGAGCATATTTTTATCAAATGCTTTCATGCATCACAATTTACTCACACTTTCACATGTAATTTTAATGTACTTGGTTATCAAATTTTCTTTTTCTAAAATTTGCCAGAGTTTGTGTGCTTGTCAGAGATAGGAAGAGGGAAAGTGAGAAAGCACTTCTCCATGTGGTACAGTCATTCTGCAATCTCTTCTTCCTTATCTTTCTCTCCTTTTGGGATTTTGGGGCCACACATATATGTGCCTGGTGTGTTTTCCAAGCCACTGGATCCAGGACTCTAACACTGGACTTGGCCATGTGGGATCCAGCTACCTTAATCACCATGCTACAGACTGGCCTGGTTATCAAATTTTCTAGCCCACAGTTGCTAAAAAAAATTTTTTTAAAGGGGAAGTAAACTATAGGGAGCAGACTTCTAACAGCTAATGAATAGCAAGGAAGAAACAAAAACAGAATTATTTCAAGAAAACACAAAACCTGCCTGAGACTAGAAAAGGACAATGAATACTATTACTTCAACATTCAAGGTAGCTGGGATCAGCAGTTGGTGTAATGGCTATGTCACTGGACTCCCATGTAGTCGACCATGGTTCGAGTCGCAAACTTGGTGGCTTAAACTCACACTGGGCGCATGTGTGTGCGTGCCCAAGATCCTGAGAGGAGAATGGAGGAGAAAGGATTGGGGCGTGGCCATCCCCCCTGGGGAGTGATTTCTCGCTTTCTGTCTCTCTGGCGAGCACACGCTCCCTGTAGCAAAAACCTCTCTTAACAATAACAACAACAAACTATCCAAGGCAGCCAATATGTAAAAGGAAAAATGTTAAGTGTTTGAAGGATGAAGTAAAGCTTATACATCGCATCTTAAGAAGGAAAATGGGGAGAAAATAGAGCTTATGGTGGTGGTATCAGTTATTTAAAATAACTTTCTTGAGAATGCTGGTGGAAGAAATAAATGTTACAGTAATGCTATATACTAAAATATTAAAGTTTTTCCAAAACAGTTTATGTAAAGGAGCCTTCGCTATAACACAGGGGGAAAAACTAATGAAATAAATATAGAAAAGAAAAATGGCATGAATATCTTAAACTGGTGATAAGAACTTTGGCTTAGACTCTAGATTTACTTCATCTAAGAGAAACTGAGGGATTTCATTTTCATCCAATTACATTTCTTAGGTCATAGTCAATATACCTTATTCCTTTTGTTATTCCTTGTTCATACAAGGTTTTTAGATACAAATATATTTTCTACCTATGGTTTTAAATCATGCATGTATGATCTATAAAGTCATACTTAAAACAAGTGGGGAGTCAGCAGGTGGCATGACGGTTAATGTGGTTAACTGTTAAGAGTCCCAGTTAAGAGTCCCAGATCTGGAAGGTTGAAAACACACTGGGCATGCCTAAAATCCTGAGAGGAGAAAAAGTAGAAAGAATTGAGGCATGGCCTTACCGCCTGGGGAGTGATTTCTTAAGTGCCCTACCTTTGTCTCTCTCAGGCCAATGAATACCCATATAGCAAAGTAAAAAGCAAACAAACAAACACAAAAAATATAACTGAGTAGCATGAATATTCTATTAGTACTTACAATTTCACATTCCCTACATGTGTGCCCAAGCAATTTTCTTCTCTCGTCTTTTTTCCGAACCACCTCAATATGAGGAAAATTTTGTAAGCCGGTATCTCTGGGGGTGGGGGATGAATTAAATATAAAATTAATCTATTTGTTATTACAAAGATCTCTGGTTTCGGGTTTAAATTAACACAGGTAGAGCTTAGAGGAAATATAATTCCAGAACATTTATTCATTTTATTTGAAATGCTTATTTGGTAAGTTAGAAGAACATGTATTTCTTCGTCAAATATTTATTGTGTACTACATGCCAAGTATTTCTATGACTTTTTTTCTAACTCAAAAAAGATAACTATTACTTTCTATTTCTGTTTCTGACTGAATGAAAAGTAACAATTAGGTTAGGAGGTAAAATATAATAACCTATTTAAAAATGAATATTGTATTAATAAACTCAGGAATTAGTATTATAAAACATAACGAAGAAAAACAAAACTGTTTTTGTTTTCCAGTATGATGAACCCAGATTTCAGAGCTAACCTTCTTTCCCAAAGAACAGTTTAATTTGTATGCCATTTGCCATTGTCTAAAAGAAATATTCCCTTTTGTTTTTCAAAAACATCAGGTTTAATTGTCATCTATGCTTGTTAGATGGATCAGATTCTACTGTGAACCCTGGAGACCACAGAAGGTCAAAGCACTGAGGTGCAGATTAATGTGGTATATGGGTTAATACCCTACAGAGTACATGGGGGGAAGAAAAGCACACTCGTTTAAACAACTAATATACTTGTACGCTGCTTCAAAAAGTCCAATATATATTTTCTTTATAACAGAAACATCCCCAATGAGCTTAAACAGTCTGATTCACAAAAGCTGATTTTTTATAAATGCTTTTTTTAATGGCCAGAGGGTATGTTTGAGTGTGTGTATGTGTTGAGAGAGAGAGAGAGAGAAGCACTCAACAAGCCTGGTCACACTGAAATCCTTTTCTCTTCCATTTCTTCATCTTGTCAGGATTCTGGGTATGTGAGCACACATTTAACTACTATGCTACAGGGCTGACCCAGTGGGAGTATTTTCTATCTGTTCTTTCTTGGTCTACCTTTTCTAATTTTTTTCTTTTCTTTTTTATGAGAAAGAGGAAGAGAGAGGTTTTTTGTTTGTTTGTTTTTTTGACAGGATCTCACCATTGTGATCTTCTGCCCCAGCTTCCCACTTAACTGGGATTATAGATGTATGCTACTGCATCCATAATTTGCTTAGGTTGGTCCAGGATCTGAACCTAGGCCTCTCAAATGACCCTAGCCTCATACAACAGCACCCTACTACTTCTACCACTATGGTTGGGCTTTGCTCTCCCTTTTAAAAACTCAGATTGGTTCAGAATTGAAGGTTCTTGGGTTAAACTTTAAAAAGGACCTATAATCTCACATGCTTTGAAATAGAGCAATAAAACATCTCTTTTGGAGGAAAGTGCTTATCAACTAGAGAGCTATGTGATCCAAATAGCCCAAAAGATTAGCCCAAAGGAGTGTTAGTAGTAAGTCATTATAAAAATCAGCTTTTCTAGACCAGTCCTGTAGCGTAGTTGTTAAGTCCTATACATTAAGAATCAAATCTCATATGGCCAATCATAATTCAAATCCTGGTCCCAATAGCTTTGAAAACATTCTGTGTGTGTGTTGTGTGCATACTACAAACTGAGTGATTTCTAGGATATATAGTTAAATGAAAAAAAAAATAGAGAAAACCACATACATATTCTACCATTTGCCAACTATATATATGTATTTGCTTTTATTTTTTAATATGGAATAAAACACATATGTTTTAAGTAAATAGTTACTTATAGAGAGAGGGAGAGTGTGCAGGGGACAAGGTAGAAGCTAGACTGTCTAAATGTATCTTGTTGTAAGCCTTGGTATAATGTTAACTATTTTAACATAACTTTAAATATAATATGGGCCAGTTCGTGGTCTGGTGGCTAAGGCAGCTGGATCCCACATGGCCTACAGCATGGTTTGAGTTCTGGACCTGGTGGCTTGAAAATCAAGCCAGCATATGTGAATGCATGCCCCAAATCCTGAAAGGAGAAAGAGATGGAAAAAGGACTGGGGCATGGCCATGCCCCGTGAGGGGTGCTTTCTCACTTTCCCTCTGTCTCTATCTGGTGAGTGCCAAGTGCCCTCTGGCAAATTAAAAACAAAATAAATAAAAACAGAAATCACTATAAAAACAAATTCCTAAAGAACCAAAAATAAAATAAACCTAGGAACTGAGTTGGTGGCATAACTATACAAAAAATAATTATCCCAAGTGACTTTAAAACAGTGATATGACTGTACATTAACAAGTTTTTTTCCTTAGAGGGTGAGTACGCTTGCTGGACAGAGACAGAGAAAAGGAGGGAATGTGAAGAAGTACCCCACAAGGGAAATTAACATGCAGCAATCCTTTCTCCATCTCTATTTCTTTTAGGATTTTGGGCATTTTGTGCCTGGCATGTTTCTCAAGCCAGAGTCTGGGACTTGAACTGAGCAGTTGGCCATGTGGGGTCTAGCTGCCTTAACTACCATGGCGTGAACTGGTCTAATTTATTTTCTCTTTAATTTTTTAAAAATTTGCCAGAGGATGTGTGCTTGCCAGAGAAAATGAGAAAACAACCCCATTTGGGATAGTCACACAGTGATCCCCTTTCCTCCATCTCGTCCTTCTTTCAGGATTCACACACGCACACATGCCCAGCATGTTTTTCAAGCTTCCCAGGTCCAAGACTTGAATTACAGAGTCGGCCATGTGGGATTCTGCTGCCCTAACCACCACACCACCAGCTGGCCCCAATTTCCCAAAAGATGTATTTTAAGGACAAAAAGGACACACAAAAAAGTCAAACTATTTTTGTTAATCATATTTTTGGTGGTATTATTATATGTATTATTCGGAAGTTACTCAATGTGTATACTGTGGAATACCGTAAACTGGAGAATTATGTTGGTGGCATTGGGAAATGGGATTTTTAGTAAGTGCAAAGTAGATACAAAAGACAGGGAAGCTTACACAACAATTCTGTAGCTCTGAATTTCTGTTAGCGCTATCAGTATGAATAAATACAGTTACACAGTTTATATTAAAAAAAATGAAACCAAAACTTATTCCTAATTCTATCTAAAACAACTAGAAACAATGACTAACCAAAGTGATGAGTAAATATAGCGGCCAGGCTGTGGCGTAAATACCACTTTCTCACTAAAAGGGAGCTAGGGGGACCAGCAGTTGGTGTAATGGCTATGTCGCTGAACTCCCATGTAGTCGACAATGGTTCGAGTACCAGACTCGGTGGCTTAAACTCACACTGGGCACGTGTGGGTGCATGCCTAAGGTCCCGTGAGTAAAATGGAGGAGAAGGGATTGCAGAGTGGCTATCTCCCATAGGGATGTCTCTCTAGCAAGCGTACGTGCCCTGTAGCAAAAACCTCTCCACAAAAAAAAAAAAAAAAAAAAAAGTAGGAGCTAGGGCTCCTGGAAAAATAGATTCTAGGTCTAGAGCAGGAAGCATATATGAGAGCTTACAACATTTAATACCAGAAGCAAAGAAGTTATGAAAAGTATCTAGGGTAGTATCCATTCAAAGAGGCTTCCATTGGCAAGATGGGACAATTTAAGTTTATAAGGATAACAACTACTATGGATTGAAACACATCAAATATATGTAAACCCAGGAGTTTATAATGGCACAAACAAAAAACTACCTAGTCACATTAGAGATGCTAGGGTACCATTTCTTTGGAAAACTAGTAAATAAAGGATAACAATTAAGCATTTAATTAAAATAATGACAGCTCTCACTAGTTTCACAAGAATCAATAAAAACTTATCTTGACATGTTAGACTTCTAACTTTCAACAGAAATAAAAGTATACGGAATAACTGCATTTATTGAGTGACTCAATTTGCTACATCATAACTTGAAAAAAAGCATAAAAAACCTTTTTAATTAATTGCTATGCCTTAAATTCATTTATAGAATGAACAGCTCTTGGGGTAAGCAAGTGGCACATGGCCAACTGTGCTTTGAGTACCAGACCTGGCAGATTGCTTTCTTACTTTTGCTCTCTCTGTCTCTCTGTGGTGAGCATGCATGGCCTGTAGCAAATTAAAAAAATAATAAATCAAATTAAATAATTCTTTTTTTTAAAAAATGAATAGTACATAAATAAAAAACAACATAATTTGTGATATCTGCAAGAGACAGAAAGTAGCATTACAGTTCAAAGTGAAAATGCTCTAAAAGTCTTCATAAAATAATTCTCAAATATGGTACCAGCAGATGGCGTAATTGTTACATTGCTGGACTCCCACATAGTCGACCAGGTTCAAGTCCTGACCCTGTAGCTTAAAACTCAGGCCAGGCATGTGTTCATGTGTGGCCAAGATCCCAAGAGGAGAACAGAGGAGGAGTGTGGCCATCCCCACTGGGTGATGATTTCTTGCTTTCTGTCCCTTTGTCTCTCTGGTGAAAGCATGAGCCCTATAGCAAAATTCTCTCTAAAAAAAAATAAAATAAAATAATAATTCTGAAGCATAACAACTAAAGCTCACCATCCAAAGTCATAATAAAAGTTACAGTATACAGCTTAATAAATTCCCGAAGTTCAAAATTTGTTGTAATAAAGCATAGAAAACAACTTACTGTAATTGTAAAAAAAAAAAACAAAAACCTGTTTATAAATTTATAACCTGTTTCCTGGCTTTAAGTTTTAAGCATATTTCCTTAGCATTTCTTTGATTTATTAAAGGTAAATTTGCTTTTCTTGAAATTAAAAAATATAGTAAACAATGCATAATTAATAACCACAGTAAACCATATAGCATCAGCTAGGTGCTACCTTATAGTTTATTCATTCTACTCAGAGTTTCATGCCTTAAGTCAGACATGTATTCATAGATAGGTATATATCAGCAGAGCTTGCTATTGAAAGTAGTTAGATTATTTAAGAAATTTTGTGAATCAATAACATGTGGGGGAAAAAAGGAATGGAAGACAATTGTGGACACCTAAGATAGTGTAGGAGGAGGGTGGGAAATGGCAGAGGATGAGAAATGGGGAAAAATATATATACATATATGAAACTAGAAATGGAAAATTATTGATGATAACATGTATGATTAAGCTACAATGCAGCATATTCTGGATGGGAAATTACATTTTGTATGTTGTGACAATGCTCAGTGAATGAATGTAAATTAATTAATTTAAAAAAAAGAAATTGAAAAGAAAAACCCTGGAAAATACACAAATAAATAGAAACTAAACAACCTAAAAAAAAAAGTCCTTATTTATAAATTCCATTATTTTTTATGTTTGAGCCTTTTTGTTATAATCTAAAGTAAATGGTCTTATTTTAACCAAAATAGCAATTTAATAGCTTACAGATACTCTCTTATAATTCCAATCATATTGCTGGTCATAATCAAGACCAACTTACCTTTCATCATCTTTAAAGTATGGTTCCACAAATGCTTTCTGCTTGATGTTAGCCTGTTTGTCACCATGTCCTGCATACAAAACAAGCATATCCCATGCTGAATGTAGTACTTAACTAGAAATAATTAGGTTGTTTGAAGAATAGCCTGTACCAAAACTTCCACTTTTATTTGGTTTAATACTCTAGGCATCCTGGGCAACTTATTTAAATTTTCTGTACTTCTTTTTCTTTCTTTTTAACCTGTGTAATGACGAAGATGCTACCTGTGTTACTTATTTCAGAATTACTTAACAGCTAAAAATCATTTCTTAGGAAATATTCATACTTTAAGGAACTACTCAGATGCCCATCATTATAATTTGGCGAGAAACAATAAAAGACAGCTTTTTTGTTTTGTTTTGTTTTGAAATTGCCAGAGGGAGTGGGAGAAGGAGGAGAAAGACTGACCCAGTGAGGGATGTGCGCAATACTTTTCCCTCCATTTCTCCATTCTATCAGAATAGGGGATGGACTTACATGTGCCTAGCATGTTTTTCAAGCTACCAAGGCTGGGCTTTGAACTGCAATTGGCCATGTGGGATCTATTTAAGGGCACAGCACTTAACCAATGTGTGATGGGGCTGGCCCCAAACAGCTTTCATAATAATGTCTCATCTATTAGTCCTATTGACTTTCATGTGTCTCTAAGGTAGGTTATAACTACAAAATGAAAAGATTAAAAAATTTTATCAGAAAATTTGTGACAAAATTTAAGAACTTGATAGAGCTCAGAACTTGAAACCTTAATCACAAGACGTTTAGACTCAAATAGCTAACTGCTATATTTTTTCAGAGCATCAAAATTTACTGAGTATTACGCTAAGTTCTGAACACAAAACACAGGACAAGAGCGATCAGGTCTCCTTTCCACACAGAATTTACATTATAGTGAAGAAAGAGGCATTAAGCAAGCAGACAGTTAATCATTAAGTAGGCAGACAGTTAAGACTTATCTGAGGAGGAACATGTAAAGCAGTAATTGATGAATAAAAAGGTGTCAGTCAAGAGAAGTGATGACGGTAGTGAATTTTATAAATAACAGTCCTGACGTAGGAAAAAATTGGTGTATGGAACTAAGAACAGACCAGAGTGGTTGAGATTTAGTGGAACAAGAGCTGAAGGGGGAGCCGAAATTGGTGAGGTAGGCAGGTTCCAGACCGTGATGGGCGGTAGAAGCCCCCCAAAAAGTTTGAATCTTAAGCACAATGAAAGCCACTGAAGAGTTTTATTTATAAGAATCAACTTGGGCTAGCAGGTGGTGTGGAAGTCAAAGTGGCTGGATCCCACATGGCTGATTGTACAGTTCAAGTCCCAGATCTACTGGGTGTATGTGTGTGTGTGCCCAAAATCCTGGAAGGAGAAAGGAGGAGAAGGGATTGCAGGAGAAGGGATTGGCTAATCCCCCAGGGTGTGATTTCTCACTTTCCGTCTGTTTCACTAGCAAGCACACATGCCCTATGGGCAACTAAAAAAAACTACATAAAAAATGAAAAGATCAACTTTATTGAGGTATATATTACATATAAAACATACTGACTTTTAGGTATATTATGATGAATTTTAACACAAGGAAGCTTCAGTATACCAATGACCCAAATGAAGACAGAGAACATTTCTATAACCCCTGAAAGTTTCCTTATATTCCTGTTTCTTGTGCAAATGAATGTTCTCACATCTCTCTTCCACTTTCTCTGCTCCCTCAGAATAACTGATTAGATTTCTTTTACTATAGCTTAGTTAAGCCTGTTTTAAACTTTACATTAATGGAATTATAATAGTATGCTTTTTCATCATTAGTGGTTTTTTTAGTTAAAAAAGTTTTAGATTCATCCATATTGTTGGGTCTAGTAGTTCTTTCCTTTTTGTTCATGAGTAATATTTTGTTGCATTAATATAGTATAACTGGGGGCCGGCAGGTGCCATGGTGGTTAAGGGTGCCAGATTCCCACATGGTTGATCACAGTTTGAGTCCTAAACCTGGTGGCTTGCCTTCTCATTTTCCCTTTCTCACGTTGTCCCTCTCTGGTCAAATTAAAATAAATAAATAAGTTAAGTAAAATAATTCTTTTTAAAAAATGAACTATAACTTATTCACCTGTTGATAGATATTTGGGTTGTTTTCAATTTACAGCTATGACAGAGAGGATTGCTATGAACAGTCTTTTTATTAATTTTCTAAATTCTACTTATTTCTTCCAAAAGTGAGAAAGACAGAGATGGAGAGGGAGCATCCCCAAAAGTGTTTTGACGCTGTCATTTACCCCTTGCCCTGGCAAGCCCTGGATCAAGGGCACACACACACTCGGGAGTACTCAGGGAGGTCTCTGGATGTGAACCTGTAATCTTCCCTGGTGGGTTAGCTCTGTATATAGCTTTGCATTTTGAGACTATGCTACCTACTATCTGGCCCCTGCTATGCATATTCTTTTGTTTCTTTAATTAACTAACTAATTAATTGTTATTTTGAAGTTTGCTATAGGGCATGTGTGGGCACCAGAGAGAGAGAAAGAGAAAGTAAGCCACCAAGTCGAGGACTCAAACCGTGGCTGGCCATGTGGGAGTTCAGCACCTTAACCACCATGCCGTCTTCTAGCCCCACTACGAACATTCTTAAACACATCCTTTTGTGAACATGTTTTCCTTTTTCTTGGTATATATCTAGGGGTCAAATTGCTGGGCGATGGTACAGGTGTATGTGTAACATAACACAAAACTGACAAACCTCTATAAAACTGCTAAAAATAAAAAATGCTGCCAAACTATTTTCCAAGGTAACAGTGACAAGTTTAGACTCCCATTAGCAAGGCATGGCAGTTCCAGGTGGTTTTCATCCTTACCAATATTAAATATTATTGGTCTTTCTAACCACTTCAGTGAGCGCAGTCACTTATTCCCTAATGTCCAGTAAGGTTGAACATGTTTACACTTAAAATAAATCCCTTTTGATTTTCTGTAGAGAATGCACTAACCAAAAAAAGAAAAGAAAAAAAGATAAAAGGATCAGTTAGGAGGTGTGCAATAGAATGTGTAAGGTGGTAGTGGTTTAGACTAGGGTGGTGGCTGGAGAGGAGTAAAGTGAGATGAAATAAACTTTAGAAATACTATGCCAGGGTATTAGAGAGGGCATAAAGGTGAGAAGTCAAGGGCCAGCACGCGGTGTGGTGGTTAAGGTGGCTGTCCTACATGGCCAGCAGCATGGTTGGAGTTCTGGACCCAGTGGCTTGAGAAACACGGAGTAAATGTGTGTGTGTGCCCCAAATCTGAAAGGGAGGGAGAAATGGAGAAGATGCGTAACACATGACCATTCCCTATGGGAGTACTTTTTAAATATCTCTTCTCTGCTCTCTGGCTCTCTCTCTAGCAAGCACAGAAGCCCTGTGGCAAAAGAAAAAGTCATACATGACTCCCACATTTCTATTTTTAGCAACCAGATAGTTATCGAGGTTTAAGGAGGCCCAGAAAGGCAAGGGAAGAGGAAAGTTGAATAGAAAAATAAGAATTTCTAATTTGACTATATTAAGTTCAAGATGCTATATATTGTAAGAATGTTAAATAAGTAGCTGGATTCATATCTGACTTTCAGAAAAGGGTAGTGAATAATACAGGAACATCTTTATTTGGCTTCTAAAACAGTACAAATTGTTGTTTCTATCCTACTTCACAGAATGTAGCTGCTGCTTCTTTTTTTTTAAAGAATTATTTGATTTAGCTTTATTTATTCATTTATTTTTTAATTTGACCAGAGAAGGACAGAGAGAGAGAGAGAAAGTGAGAAAGCAAGTTGTCAGGTCTGGGACTTGAACAGTTGGCCACGTGGGATTCCAGCGCTCTTAACTACCACACCACCTGCTGGCCCCACAGGATGTAGCTTCTTCATTTCCTACTACATAGACTGTAGCTCCTCAATTTCCTTTGTTGGTTCTTTATTTCTCTGACCTCTTAAAGTAGCTATACCCCAGAGTTGAGAACTTAAAATATCTCTTTTCCATTTATATTCAGTACTTTGATGATCTCACTTAGCTTCATGGCTTTAAATACCATCTACTTACTGTTGTTGACTCCATGCCTCCAAATTATTTATTTTGGATTTCTTGTCTGAACTCTAGACATATCCAAGCTGTTGACAAATCACTTTCACTTGAATTCAAGTAAGTATTAACATGTTAGAATTAGCTTTTGCTTTTTTCCCTTACACTTTCTATAAGGGAAGACTAGGTAGGACTGTGATATGGGGGTAGAGTAAATGAAATAGATACTCAATCCTAAACTGTATGCCTAAGACACTGAAAAAAAAAAAAGTCCTTCGATTTTCATTAGGGATTCCGTTCCAGGACCCACTGCGGACACCAAAATCTGAGGATGCTCAAGTCCCTTATATATGATACACATCCTCTCATTTACTTTAAATTATGTCTAGATTACTTATAATACCTACTACAATGTAAATGCTATGTAAATAGCTATTATACTATTTTTTACTTTTTTTTTTTTTGAGGGGGGTTGTATTGTTATTTTTTAGTCATTTTCCTCCCAGAATATTTTTGATCCATAGTTGGTTGAATCCATGGATTGTATATGGAGGGCTGAATGTATTTGGCAATCACTCAAAAATGCAGGACTGGAGTTTATTAGAGAAGTTAAAACCTAGAGATGCATATCTGGAGTAATTTTCAGAGGTGGTTAATAAAAGCTGTGAGAGAAACAATACATAAAAGAGAGTCTTAAAGATACTCTAGTAAATAAACTGTCAGAGATTAAAAGAATAATGCAACACTGTCACAAGTCAAATGACAAGAAATTTGGGGATGGTTCAATGTCAAATTTAACTTAAAAAGGACAGAAATTAATAAGTACCTCCTTATAAAAGAATATTATTTTTCTTTGAAATGAAACTAGTTTGCACAATGCTCTTTTCTGGGGAAAAAAACTGTACCGAACAGTAGTTAGTTTTTTGTTTTCTTTAGTTTTTCTATAGGGCATGAGTGTTCACCAGAGAAAGAGAGAGAGAGAGAGAGAGAGAGAGAGAGAGAGAGAGAGAGAGAGAAATGGAAAGAAAGAGAGAAATCACTCCCCAAAGTGGATGGCCATACCTCAATCCCTTCTCTATTCTCCTCTGGGGATCGTGGGCATACACACACATGTGCCTGGTGTGATTTTCAAGCTGCTGGATCTCAGACTTAAACCACTGGAGTTGGCCATGTGGGATTCAGCACCTTAATCTCCATGAAACCTGCTTGGCCTAACTGTAAGTTTTTATTATAAAATTTACTTGATTAAGTTTTTGCCATGGGCTGTGCAAGCAAAGGCCAGTATTTTGGTTAGGATCTCATTCACTTTGAAAACCTGATGGAAACATAAACACAGCACTATCGAAATAGACTGTGCCATAGCAGGTGTGCTCATTTAAACCAACCAGCATAAAGCCACCTCTAAGTCAGATTAAAAATTCTGACCACTGGGACCAGCAGGTGGCATGGTGGTTAAGACGCTGGACGCCCCCACATGGTCAACCACGGTTTGAGTCCTGGACCTGGTGGCTTGCTTTCTCACTTTCCCTCTGTCTCTTTGTCTCTGTGTCTCAATCTGGCCAAATTAAAATAAATGAATTAATATATAAAATTAAAAGAAAAAGATTAAAAAAAAAATTCTGACCACTTTACTCACAATGTAAAAAATAAGATATTTAACAAGAATTCTAATTAACTTTTAATACAGATGATCTATTTAGACTTTCAATTAGAGTATTATTCTTTTGATTGCTATCCTACGTTATAAAATTGCTGCATCTCATAAAACACATCTAAAGACTGATATATTGCATATTTTATCTGGGAAGATAAAGTATTCATAGGAGAAAAGGGTCTGAATTTTCTGTGAAACTTTGCCCTCTATTACAATGACTAATTTTACAGAAGTTTCTTAAAACTTCCATACTGTATGCATATATTATAAAGGAATTTATGGCATCAAACCATGATTAATTTCATCGTTATTAAGGTGTTAACTTAAGGGCAAGGTATCAAAAAAATCCTCTGAATTATTTTTGGAATTCTTGTTTTAGTATGATGAACTTACCTCAAAAAAAAAAACCAAAAACCTGAAATATAAATTTATACAGAAAACATTAAATTTTAATTGTAAATATATCATTAAGATTAATTAGCCTGATAACTTACTGAACTCAGTGAATCTATAATTAAAGAGAAAAAAGTCTTACTATTTGGTTTCTTTGTGGTAACAGACAATTCTTCCTCTTTATCTGTTACTTGGGAGAAATTATCTGCCAAACAGGATTCATATTCTTCATGTGTTGTCCGATCAAACATATCTTCCAAACTATCATCCATGTTTCTTTCTCCATCTATGTAAAAGAGCATTGGCTTAGGAAAACAAGCAAGGTTTTTGCTTTCTACATAGAACATGAAACTTGGAATAACTACCACAAAATAATGTAATAAAGACTCAGTTACACTTTTTTTGGGGGGATAGGTTTTTGCTATAGGGCGCAGGTGCTTGCCAGAGAGACAGAAAGCAAAAAATTGCTCCCCAGGTGGGATGGCCATGCTGCAATCCCTTCTCCTCCATTCTCCTCCCGGGATCCTGGGCATGCATGCACATTTGCTCAGCATGAATTTAAGCTACCAAGTCTGGGGCTCGAACTGTGGTTGACTACATGGGAGTCCAGTGACATAGCCATTACGCCATCTGCTGGTCCCTTTAATTACATTTCTATACAACTTGATTCTTACAATGTGGATTACAGGCCTCACTTTGAAGAAAGTTCTTTCAGTGAATAGATATAATGTATGTAGGGACGTGCTTGTAGAACACATGTGTAAAAGATGATTCTAAGAATGTTAATTATAAGCTGTCTTATTAAGAGTTTAATTCAGAGACTGTAAATGGTAACAAACTGCAGTGTATGTAATGAAGTATTTAAAGACATTTCAAAATTCTTACGATGCAGTAAGTCTTAACAATTGATGCATGAGGCAAGGATAAATACCAACTCTGTGTATTTAAAAAAAATCTTCAGTTTATGGCTTTAAATGTTCTTTACTCATGTGAAATGCTTTAATCAAGCACCAGCTTTTGTATCATCATGTAAACAAATTTCTTATAAACATATTTTTTTAACTCCTTATCAGCTCATGTGTAATTCACATTAAATCAACAGGAGTCTTACCAAAGAAAACTGTGATACACCCTAATGAATGATGAAAAATATTAAAGTTTAAATAAAAATGTATGAACTGTAGACATTAAAATATCTAAAAAATTTTGGTTGCTGGCTTACTTTTCTAATGAAGTAGCAGAAAAGAATTTTCTTATATTATCATTAGAACTTGGTGGTTTAGGGCTGCCCTACTAGAGCAGTGGTTAAGTGCTATGCAGAGGAAGCCAGATTATACATGAACAAAGATGGTTTGGGTCCTGGTATGGCAACTTACAGGCCAGGTACATTCAAATAAATTTAGGATCCTGATGGGGTGAAGGATCAGAGGAAAAAATAATTTCAGTATGACTAGGCCCCATGAGGAGGTACTTTCTCTCAAACATGTGGTTGTACCCTTCCTCTGGCATAAGAGAAAAGTAAAAGATTAAAAAAAATTGGTAGTTTAGTATTGACAGAGATAATAAATTCAATTCTACCTTTAATATGCAGAAGTGCTACATTGGCCTTCAGAGATCTAACTATTGGGTTGTGGGAAAGTCATGACACATTTCTGTGTAGAAAAAAAGAAAAGTAAGGCATGACTTTCCTGATGACTTTTCCCATTATAAAATCATTTCAAAAAAACACACCAGAGTTTAAGAAAAAAACAGAAAGAGTCAACAGGCCATCAAATATTACAGCACAAAGTCCTTCTAAGATTACACTCTGTAAAATAACTACCACCTCTCCCAAACCAGAGTGCTCTATCATTCTTATCCTGCTTTATCTTTACTGGACTTACCATCATCTACACCAAACCATACCATGTATTTCATGTTTCTCCCCTATTAAAATGTAAGTTTCACGAGACAGGTACTTTTGTTCTGCTTATCCATTATTTCTAGTTCCTAGAGTATTTCCAGGTATGGACTTTTTGCTTGATATTGACTCAACAGTGAAACATTTGTTTTTCATGCTAAGGATCAAATTTGTAGATAAAATATAACTTCTCACACATCTAATACTATCCAGGCTTGATCCTCCTTAGCTTCCAAGGTCAGATGAGGTCAAGTACATTCATAACTTCTGTGTGCCAGGCATTGTGCGGGCCTTTTCACAGCACTCTGTACATGCTGTGAGTCAATCAGTGTTAAGTTGCTGATTTACGTTTTTTGTTGGTCTGATTTCTTTTTTTCAGCTTTTGCCATATGGCACATATTCTTGCCAGAGAGAGACAGAGGGATAGCAAAAAGGAAAGTGAGAAATAACTCCGAAAGGGGAAGAGTCACACTGCAATCTCCTCTCCTTGATTCTCTTGGGATTTGGGGCAAGCACGCACATGTGCTGGTGTGGTTTTCAAGCTGCTGGGTCTGGAACTTGATCCTCGTTGGCTGTGTGGGACTTCAGCTTCCTTAACCACCATGCCACCTGCTAGCCCTTATTGGTTTGCTTTTTGATTGTGAAAGACAGTACCTGAAGACAGAGACTACATCATTACTGATCTATGATTCTGCATGATCATATAGTTTGTTATTCACTGCTGGAGGATGAAGTGTTACGGCATATGAAAATTTTCTTAAACTTTTTTAAATTAAAATTTTCTCTCACTATGTTTAACACAAAGTAGTTCTAAAAAGTAGGGGTGTAGAAAACATTTTCTGAATTGAAATATTAAAACTAACTGGGAGTTTTTATTGGTATATTTCATTTTAGCCAATTCTAAGTGTTAAGAAGGTTTTACTTTATGGGGCAGATTTTTTTTCCCCTGAAATATGGCCTCAACAAAGTCTCCTATTCCACATGCTGTTCTTAAAATGTGGTCTCAACATCCCTCCCATTAATTGTCACTAAGCAAACTCTAAGGGGTATATTTACTCTCCTTGCATCTTGGCTGGCTTTTATAACAACATGCAACTCCTAAGATCATAAAAATGCCATGGACTTCTGCTTTGCTCTTTTGAGGTACTCACTCTGAGAACTTAGCCTCTATGTGATGAGGCACACTAGCCCACAAAGAATGGCCACATAAGAAGCCCTGAGATCAAATGAGAAGAGATGCCAAGCTTCCAACATCTGCCTAACCAACCCACTGCTGTTCTAGTTCCAGCCTCTATCTGCCTATTACTGTGTGACAGATAAAGACAGAACTGCTCAGTCAAGTTCTTCCTAAATTCCTGAGCCAGAGAAATCATAAAGATAACAAAATGATTGCTGTTATTTTAATTCTCTAAGTTAATGGGTAATTTATTATGTGCAGCAGAATCAACAATGCTTTAGACAAAACCTCCACTCATCAGTCCAACTTCTAATCTCACTTTGACATGATACCTGTTTCAAATACATTCAGGAAACTATTATCTTCTTTGAAATCAACTAGATAGCCTTAAAGCCAAAGTAAAGTAGTCAACTTTAGTTTTTTCCTTTTTCTACAAAAATGAGAAAAACATTAAGAGGCACTGGTACCAGAAACAAAATAATCTTTTTTTTTTTTTTTGAGAGGTTTTTGCTATGGGGCACGTGTGTTCAACAGAAAGACAGAGAGAGACAGATAGATAGAAAGCGAGAACTCACTCCCCAGGGGGGATGGCCACGCCACAATCCCTCCTACTCTAGGGATCCTGGGCATGCATGCATACACGCCCAGCGTAAAGCCACCAGGTCCGGGACTCAAACAGCGGTCATCTACATGGGAGACCAGCAACATAGCCATCAAGCTAACTGCTGGTCCTGAAACAAAATTATCTTAAAAACAAAGTATCTGCAAACAGCAGATGGTATAGCAGGTAAGTCACTGGACTCCTACATGGCTGACCATGGTCTGAGCTCTGGACTAATGGCTTGAAAATCATGCTGGGTAAGTGTGTATATGTGCCCAAGATCCTGAGAGGAGAATGGAGAAGGGACTACAGTGTAACTATCCCCTCTGTGGGGTGATTTCTCAATTTCCCTCTCACTATCTCTGTGTATCTTTTTGGCAAGTACACATGCCCTAAGGTAAAAAAAACTCTTAAAACTAAAAAAAAAAAAAAAAAAAAAAGGCAAAGTATCCTAGACATTCTGCATGATCATATAGTTTGTTATTCATTGCTAGAGAATGAAGTGTTATGGCAAGATGAAAATTTTCTTAAAATTTTTTAAATTAAACTTTCTCTCACTCACTGTGTTTGGAGCAGCAAAAGATACACTGATTTAAAAGAAGCCAGAGCAGGATTGTCTGATTTATTTTTTGGCCCCGAGCAGGTAGACTATACAAAATTCAGCAG